CCCCCCCCCCCCCCCCCCCCCCGCTCAAATGGGAGACCATACACCATTTCTGACAAATGGTACTCCAATCTCTCTCCTGTATCACTTTATAAAACCCTAGTAAGACCACACCTGGAAAAACTACAACCAATTTTGGTCACCATACCACAGAACGAAAAAGATGTTGAGACTTTGGAGAAAGTTCAGAAAAGAGCAACTAAGGTGATCAAAGGCCTGGAGATGAAAACATATGAAGAACTGTTGCAGGATTTGGGTTTGGATAGTCTAAAGAAAAGAAGAATTAGGGGTGACATGATAGCAGTAGTCCAGTATTTGAGGGGCTGCCACAAAGAAGAGGGGGTCAAATTATTCTCCAAAGCACCAGAAGGCAAGAAAAAGAAACAATGGTTGGAAACTAATCAAAGAGAGAAGCAACCTAGAATTAAGAAGAAATTTTCTAATAGTGAGGACAATTAACCAGTAGAACAGCTTGCCTCCAGAAATTGTGGGTGCTCCATCACTGGAGGTTTTAAATAAGAGTCCAGAGAGTCACTTACCTGAAGTAGTAGAGGTTCTTCAGCTTGGGCAGAGGGCTGGACTAGAAGACCTCCAAGGTCCCTTCCAACTTCTCTTCTCTTCTACTCTACTCTACTCTACTCTACTCTACTCTGCTCTACTCTACTCTATTCTACTCTACTCTACTCTATTTCAATTCTATTCAATTCTACTCTACTCTATTTCTTCTATTTCTATTTCTATTCTATTCTATTTCTATTCTATTCTATTTCTATTCTATTCTATTTCAATTCTACTCTACTCTACTCTACTCTACTCTTGCAACTCTACAGCGCGTTGAACCACCAGCTCTAAGCACCCCCCCAACTAACTCACTGCGCACGCGCACAGAAGAGGCGGAGGCGGCAAGGGCTCTCGGACGAGCAAGTGGGCAGAACCGTCGTTGTGCCGAGGGCAGGGGGCGTGGCCTCTCCCAGCGCACGCTATAACTGGAGCGGCGAGCGCGTCTCGCCAGGCGTTTGTTTTTCTCCCTCCCATCATGAAGAAGGTGATGGTGCGGCTGCTGTGGGCGCTGGCAGGTACCGCCGCGCGTCTCTCCCTCCCCGCTCAGGCTCGGGAAGCGGGTGGCCGGCTTTTTCCAGCCGCTCTGCTTCCAGCAAACCCGGCCGCGGTTGAAACGTTAATCCCTTCCCGCCTCCTGCGATGCTTTCCTACGCATCGGGTCGCTGTCCGAGGACGCAGGGGAAATCCTTGGCAGCGCTCTCCATGTGGGTCAGTTGGCAGCCCCGAGAGAGTACCGAGTTTGGGAGGGAGGGTGGTACGGTAACCATGGCAATTATTTGTGCGAGACTTTGGTCTCCCCTAGTAACCTCTCCATCCTTTTTCTCTCTCCACCCGAGGACTCCTGTTGCTGATTTCTCTTGCGACAAGTAGCACGGAGGTGAGTGTTGAGAATCCAAGGAGTAAGCAAGCTCTTTTCATCCCAGGCTTACTTTGTAATTTGCAAAGTTCATGAAAAAGTTCATTTCAAAGTAGGGTTGCTGGCTCTTTTTTCATCCTGCCGCAAGCTCGAGGGAGGGCTTGGAGCCCCCTGGATGGCAACGGGACAGGCTTTTTGTACTCGGAGCTATCAGAGACTCAAAATAGAAATCAGAGCTCAGATGAGAATCTTCCCTCTTTTGGACCAGAAAGTCATGTCCCATCAGGATGAGAAGCTTCCCTCTTTTGGACCAGAAAGATGTGTCCCATAATTAGGAAGTTCCCGTTGCTGGACCGCTCTTCAGCAGAGAAAGGAAAAAAACTGTTTACTGTATGCCCACAGATGATGTTGGCGCTTGTGAGCTTTAAGCTATAGACCTCAGAGAGTAAACATGAACCAAAATGTTTCTGGGGTATGTTAGCTGCACAGAAAAAAAAAAAAAAAAAACAATTTGGAGACTAAATCCTAGTAGAAATAAAAATTTAGGCAACATCTTTCGTCCTTTGAAAATAAATGCTAGCCCTCCCCACTCCAATCCTCAGTTTTAATTGTCATATGGAGTTGTGCATTTTTGCTGCAAAGATTGATGGGTTAGAAAATTATAGTTTCTCATAAAGGGCAAATATATGGTATGTTTTCACTATGCTTAGCTGTAGATATAGTATTCCATATGAATATTAGACTTAGGCTTGCATTACCAACCATGTTTTTGTTTAGAAAGAAAAGACTGGGTTGAAAGTTTGGACTTTCTAGTTTCCTCCTTTTTTCCTCTCTTATTTTTTTCAACATCAAATGAAAAAAAATCGTTTGATGTTGAAATGTGAATTAGAAATCTAAGGTAACCATCTGGAAGTCACTGAACTACAAGAAACAAATGTAAAAAGGAAGAATTTGATATCCATATCCAAAGGGTAGGGAATTGTATAATGGAGAGGAAGTTGCTGCTCAGTTTAGGTTCTTATACTCCTAAAGGAATTTTTTCACTCTTAATAACTTTCTAATATAGTTCTTCATTAATAACTTATTCTTCTATTGGTCTGTCCAGTGTATGTGGCAGGGCATGATGCGCAGGGAACTTCATATATGCCTTGGTTTTCCAGGTCAATTTTATCTTTGGGGTTTCTTAGGATGTCTGTGTGTGCTGGGTGTGTGCTGTTTAGGTGTGTTAAGAAAACAGCGTACACCCCAAAATCAAACTCACCATGGAAACGGAAACAAACAAACAACTACCATTCCTAGTGTGTATTAATCTACAAAAAAACTGATAGCACACTAGGACACACCATATACCAGAAGAAAACACACACCAACCGCTACCTCAATGCCCAATCCCACCACCACCCAGCATAGATAAACTCTGTGGCCAAAACACTAATTGCCAGAACCAAACGCCTGGCAGACAAGACACACATAAAGACTGAACTATGCACCCTGACTAAAGTACTGGCAGCCAATGGCTTCCACAAAAGCAAAATCACAGGCCTGATCCACAAAAACACACTGAGACATAATGGAGACCTAGAAGATGAACAGACCTATGGAACAGCTGTCCTACCCTACATAAGAGGTACTACAGACAAAATCAGTAAGATACTACACAGGCATCACATCAAGATCCTATCCTTTTTTAGGGCTTGCAGTGCTTTTAGTTCTTCTTTGTGCAAGTTGCTTTTGGGTGGTTTGCTCGTGCATAGGAAGTTAGTAACTTGGTATCTTATTCTATCAGCTTCATCTGTATTTAATTTAGTTAGGCTGGATTCTACTGCACATATGATGGATTCTGTGGGGATTTTTGGGGGTGCTATAGCATAATTGAATCCTTGGTTAGGACCTCTGTTTCTGTTTTGGTGAGTTCTCTGTTGGAAACATTATATACTAACTGTTTCAGGTGTTGTGAGTTGTTGGGGGCTTTCTTATCATGTTCTAATTTCTTTAGTTTCTTTAAGAGTTTGTCATTTTTGTAAGTGGTTTCAGTTTCAGCTCTTCAAGTTGTAAGTTGTTTTATGTTGTCCCAAAGTAGAGGGTGGATTTTTCTGCTCAATTCCAGGTGTCGTGCTAGCAAATCTTTGTTTAACTGATCCAATTGGAATCTCTTTCTGTGGAGCTCGTTCCTGAGTAGAGCCATTTCAGTTCTTTTCAGGATACATTTAGTAGCTGCTGTGCTGTGATGAAATGTTAATTTGAAGCAGGTTGGTGTTGCATTGTTGTCTCTGCAAGCTGCGTAGGAATTTGAGGTCACATAGTATTCCTGCTCTTTTAATTTCTAGCTTCTCATAGGTTTTGGTCTGGCTGTTTATTTCCTCCCCGTAGAGGTCTGATATTTGTTTTCTTAAGTTTTCGCGGGTACTTACGTGTATGGTATTCAGCTTTGTTCGGGTATTTTCTCACGTCATTGTAGTTGTGCTTTTAAAGTTGTAGCAACGTTTCGGCAGAATCTCATCTGCCATCATCAGGCTTCTGTATTGTGTTCGTCTGTGAGTCAGACTTTTACAGGTCTTTAAAAGGTTTTAAAAGGTCTTTAAAAGTCTGACTCACAGACGAACACAATACAGAAGCCTGATGATAGCAGATGAGATTCTGCCGAAACGTTGCTACAATTTTAAAAGCACAACTACAATGACGTGGGAAAATACCCGAACAAAGCTGAGTACCATGTATGTATGTATGTATATATGTATGTATGTATGTATGTATGTATATGTATGCCTAAGCCTAAGTGCTATATCTGTCTATTTCCAGCCCCAGTGTAACTTGTATGCCCTGCCTGGATGCCCAAGGAATTTTAATCCAGTTTGCGGAACTGATGGAGAAACATATGCAAATGAATGTATGCTTTGTATGACAAACAGGTAATTTGAAACTAGAAGATAATTATTTATGTAAGGTGGCATGAGCTTTATAAGATTCGATTGGGGCATCTGTGCTTAAGCACTCACTTCATTTCAACTTCCTATCTCTCAGCTCCTCTGAAAACCTATTGGGAAGTCAATGATTTTTCCACTCTGGAAGAATGTAACGTCTGACTGACATTCATAGACAGGAGAGAGTCACAAAATTGCAAAACCAGTTATTTCTCGATAGTATACAATATTGGCTATTTCCAAGAGTTAGATATTTAGATACTAGATAGTTAGATACTCCTGGAAATAGCCATTCTTTTGTTTTCTTTCTTTCTTACGGGGGTCTTTACATTTTAATAATGTTTGACTTTGGGGGAGGGATATTCAAACAATGCAATCTTCACAAATGAAGATTTGTGTTTTTAGAGTATAGATCAAACAGGTCATTGATAGTAGGATCACTATAAATTATTAGGTAATTTACATCAATTTCCAATCCAATTTGCAATTCTAATATCAGGCAATAGTGTTTCCATAGATTGTTGATCCCACTTGCCAAATTTATTCTGTCTCCACGTTCCCACTCAGAATTCTCTGGTCCTATGTGAAAATTATCCAACTGAATATGTTCTCAGTTTTCTCCTTAGAAACCCTCACAATCTTTCTGCTGCATAATTTTTGAACTGATTGAGCAATGTAATCACAGAAACGATTATGAAAGCATCTAACATAAAGCACTTTTAAGAAATACAAATCTAATTTGGGGAGGTAAGGAAAATAATTGCCTATTTTTTGCTTTCTGGAGGAACATAAAGAATATATCAAAATTTGATTGCAAAGCTAGTTTTATCTCCTATGAAAAGCCTATTAATCTCCTGGTAGCAATGAAAGAAAAGAGATAACTACAGTAGTACTTCTTTGCAGTACCTACTCCAATCCATGCTAGCATAACCTAACAATGTGTTTGATTTTTTCCCTTACAGAGACAAGGACGGGGATATACAAATTGCGTATAAGAGTGCCTGTTCATGAGAAGAGGTTCAAGAAACAGAAAAAGAAAACACAAATCCTGCTGAGAAGTTTAAATGTGCCTTTAAAACTGTTTAAATAAATGCGAGCTTACATGCTTTTATCCAGCTTCTGCATCTTGCTTACTTCAAATGTTTTGTTGAAAGAACTTTTTTCAAAATTTTATGGTGGGTTTTTGTTTTTAGATTTAACCCTCATTTTTCAAAGAAATCATTCTCAATCAACAGAAGGTATAAGTACCGTACGATCCCTCAGACCAGGCTTAATTCAACTTGGATACGTAGAACTCGGCAACTCTTGGCCTCCAACTAAGGGATGAAGCCAAGAAATGCTCCTTTATGTTTTCTCAGACTGAGGAAATCAACATGTGGAACCAAATGTACTTTCTAGCAAGGAGCATTTACTCCTCTGATCAGAAATGGAACTAATTTGGTTTTTCATCTTGTTATGATGTTCTTCCTGCAAGGCAGTGCCATTTGGTCTTTTGGCATCCCTTGTTAACATGCAATATTTTCACTGGCTTGTACAGCTATTTATATGAACACACACAAGCATATATTTGGCAAAAAAAGTCTATAGATTTATAGTTATATGCACCATGAAACCTTGGCCACATAGAGCCATGTTGTTCAGACTTCTCATTATTTTGATAAAGAGTAAATTCACAAACAGTATGAATGCATGATCATTAACCCAAGATGCTGCAAATTATCACTGTTTGTTATAAGCTACTGTAGTATACTTTTTCCTACACCTTTGCTCAATAACTGCAGTTTCCCTTCATAATAAATTCTTAGGTTTTAGTATAGGATTCAAAATCACAAATTTTAAGCCATATGATTGTTTCAGATATACATCCCTTCCATTATTTTAATATTCAATATTAAAAATGTGTATACTTTCAATATATTTTTCCTAACATAAAATTGATTAATCAAAAGCTTTAATTTTGATACCATCCAATAAACATGAAAAATTAATTTATTTTACTTGAAATACTTATATAGCTTTTATTTATTTTACTTGAAATACTTATATAGCTGCACGTATTGTAGCTGCAAGCTATTGCATTTTTCATATAGAATAGAATTCTTTATTGGAAAAGTGTGATCGGACACACAAGGAATTTGTCTTGGAGCAAATGCTCTCTGTACATAAAAGAAAAGATAAATTCAAGAGTCAAGAATCATAAGGTACAACATTTAATGATAGCCATAGGGTACAATAAGCAACCAAATCATACTAGGAAACAGTCAATATAAATTGTAAGGATACAAGTGACAAAGTTACAGTCATACAGTTACAAGTGGGAGGGGATGGGTTATAAGGAGTGATGAGAAGTTTAACAGTAATAGTAGTGCAGACTTTGTAAATAGTTGGACAGTGTTGAGGGAGTTATTTGTTTAGCAGAATGATGGCATTTGGGGAAAAACTGTTCTTGTGTCTAGTTGTTCTGGTGTGCAATGCTCTATAGCAGGGGTGTCCAACCTTTTACCTTCCCTGGGCCACATTAGAAGATGAAAATTTGGTTTGGGCCGCACATAAAATAAAATAACAGTAACGATACCTGATCATCCCAAAAAACCATAGAAAACATAGTTAACATATTAAATTTATTTGGAAATGAAGTTAGTCAGATGTTTTTATTATTTATTATTAATTAAAATTATTTTTTATCACGGTTTTTTTATCACGGTTTTTTTTATCACAGTTTATTTTCCGGCCAAATTTTGCGGTGGGGGAAGGGGGAGAGAAAGCTCGCCCGCCTCACGCCTACCTCTCCTCCTGCTAATGGCCCGGCTGGATGAGGCAGGACTGGAAGGCAGAAGCAGCAGCAGCAGTGGCGGGGGCAGAAGCCTTCCCCCGCCACCGCTGCTGCTTCTTCCCCTGCCACCGCCGCCGCTTCTGCCACCTCCACGGGGGCAGAAGCGGCAGCGGTGGCAGGGGAAGAAGCGGCAGTGGTGGGGGCAGAAGTGGCGGCGGGGACAGAAGCGGCGGCGGGGGCAGAAGCAGCAGCGGTGGCAGGGGAAGAAGTGGCGGCAGGGGCAGAAGCAGTGGCAGGGGAAGAAGCAGCAGCGTTGGCGGGGGCAGAAGCAGCAGCAGTGGTGGGGGAAGAAGTGGCGGCAGGGGCAGAAGCGGCAGGGGAAGAAGCAGCAGCGGTGGCGGGGGAAGAAGCGGTGGTGGTGGCGGGGGCAGAAGCAGCAGTGGCGGGGGCAGAAGTGGCGGCGGGGGCAGAAGCGGCGGCGGGGGCAGAAGCAGCAGCAGTAGCAGGGAAAGAAGCGGGGGCAAAAGCGGCGGCGGGGGCAGAAGCGGTGGCGGCAGCGGGGAAAGAAGCGGCGGCAGCAGGGGCAGCAGCAGCAGGGGCAGCAGCGGCAGCGACGGTGGGGGCAGAAGCGGCGGCGGTGCCGGCAGCGGCAACAGCAGGAGGTGGCGCTCTGACGGCGCCCGCCTTTTTCCTTGCTGCTTGGCCTGGCACTCACCTCGCCCCGCCTCGCGCCTGCTTCTCCTCCTCCTCCTCGCTGGCTCTGGCATGAAGGTTGGGGTGGGCACTGGGCTGCATTACGAGGCGACCTGGGCCGCATGCAGCCCGTGGGCCGCGGGTTGGACAAGCCTGCTCTATAGTGTCATTTTGAGGGTAGGAGTTGAAACAGTTTATGTCTGGGGTATGAGGGGTCTGTAAATATTTTCACAGCCCTCTTTTTGACTCATGCAGTATACAGGTCCTCGACTGAAGGCAGGTTGGTAGTCATTGTTTTTTCTGCAGTCCTAATTACTCTCTGGAGTCTGTGTCTATGTTGTTGGGCTGCAGAACCAAACCAGACAGTTATAGAGGTGCAGATGACAGACTCAATAATTCCTCTGTAGAACTGGATCAGCAGCATATATTCTTTAATGTCTCAATCATTGGTTGTTAATATGAGATATTTCAAAGCTTTACAGGTTGGCCTCAACTTATGACCGTAACTGGGACTGGAAATCTGGTCATAAGTTGAGGCACCCAAATAACCAGAAGTAATTTTCTGCCCTTTTTCATGGTGGTGGTTAACTAATGTTGCAGTTATTAGGTTTAATTTGAATGGGTGTCGGAAACTGGCAAAAAATGCCAGAAACCAGCCAAAAAAATCAAAAATGACTGCAAAATGCTGTAATGGGTCCCAAACAGAGGTGGTATTCAGCAGGTTCTGACCAGTTCTGGAGAATCGGTAGCAGGAATTTTGAGTAGTTCGTAGAACCAATAGTGGAAATTTTGAGTAGTTTGGAGTAGTTTGGACTCTGACTGGCCTCGCCCCCATCTATTCTCTGCCTCCTGAGTCCCAGCTGATCGGCTGGGTCTTCTTCTGTTGCCCTGCACGGAACAGAGCTGGAAAACAGATTAGTGGGGAGGGAATGGGATTTTGCAGTAACCTTCCCCTGCCATGCCCACCAAGCCACACCACGCCCACCAAGCCATGCCCACAGAACCAGTAGTAAAAAAATTTGAATCCCACCACTGGTCCCAAAGCTGAACTTTCTGACATGCAGTCATGTGACGGGGTCAGTGTGATCATTTATTATAGTTGGGGGTGCTTAATGGACTGTAAAGTACCGGTTCCATGTCTGTTGTAACTGAGTGGTCGTTTTAAGTTGAGTATTACCTATATTACCTACAACTAATTTCTTCCTTTTGTCTATTAAAAAACTGTAAATTTGAAATCTTTAAAAAATTATACTGAATTACTGATACTAATAGTAACTAACAGATAGTAATTCAGGAGTTATTCATGTTGTAAAACAGGGGTCTTCAAACTTGACAACTTTAAGACTTGTGGACTTCAACTCCCAGAATTCCTTCTCCAGTCATGTTAGCTTGGGAATTCTGGGAGTTGAAGTCCACAAGTCTTAAACTTGCCAAGGTTGAAGGCCCTTGCTGTAAAGCATTTGCAGCAGAGTAGGAAATAAAAAAATGTTTTAACTGAATCCATATACTACTAAAATTCTCATATTTATCTGTTTGTACTCCCAAGCTAACCCAAACTATGCATTATACTGCAAAGTATAATGAATCAAAGTTACCTAAAATTGGCTAACTTAATGCGTAAAAAAACCCCAGGACCTTATGAAGAATCCTGTGGAATTGAAATTTCCACCATGTTCAGACTAATTTTATTCACAAACTTGTGGCCATTTGCAGGGTTGTCATGGTCACATGATTGTGATTTTTGATACCCTCTGCCAGCTTCTCACAAGCAAAATTAATGGTGAAGCCAGGAGGAAGTTGGCAGCTGCTTCTGCTCTCACTATTTTTTTCCTTGCTTGTGGACATTTTCTTTAGTGTAAAAAAAAGTAAATACTGACATTTGCCACTATAATTATTTTTGCTATTTAGGATACATATTCTTCTTAGATGATCATTGGACTGTTCAGCATTGGACTAAAAATTTTTTTCACTCTGATTACGTCTGATTGCACCAACTTTCTCTCAAAGGGGTCACCTATAGTTCACCTTTTGTGAAACTTTCTTCATTATCAAATTTTGGAAGCAATGTGTATAAATTCTCACTGTTCTCTGTGCAAATTTGCTGAACGCAAAGCTGTTTATTTTATGTCAAGCTGGCTTTAATTTTACAGCACATGCTTAGAGTTTGAAGCAGTCCCTATACAGTATATGGTTCCATCACAAGGGGACACCCTTTCTTTAGTAAAATACAGCAAAGAGAACAAGTAATGTGTAATCATGAATCCAAGAAGCCACCCTCACATTTACACAGCTATTATTTAAAAAAATCATTTCTATTTGACCTTGCAGTCACCAATGCCATTATGTCAGTTTAGTATGATAGAAATTAAAGTAACCTTGAAAGAAAGTTTGTAGTGTACTTGTAAAATAGCAAATAGAGCATTCATGAATATCTAAAGTATCTAAAATATGGAATATAATTTACTAGTCTGAAATAGGATATTAATCAACTTCTGTTTTACAGTTTTAATATGGTTTAAATAGTGATTATACTTAGTGGACAAATCAGACAGAGCTGAGAAAGTCTGAGCTATAACAACATCTTTGTCAAGTATTTGACACCAAATAATCCCAGCTACGTGATACACCAAAAGCCAACATTTCCCCACTTGGTATCTTCCAGATGTGTTAGTATAATAAATGGTAGCTGAGAATTCTAGGAATTGTAGCTTAACTCAAAGAGAGTTAAGAAGCAAACTGAAGAAGCTTCTTGGACAAGAAGCGAAACGTCTTCAAGGAAAAACAAAATCCAGTTACCTTTTGAAAAAGCACCTTTAGGACAACCATGACTTGGATGACTGAGAATCTTCATGTACAATTATAGCCTAATATACCTCTTCGCAGTCAGAGGTGGTATTTAGCAGGTTCTGACCAGTTCTGGAGAACTGGTAGCAGAAATTTTGAGTAGTTCAGAGAACCGGCAAATACCACTTCTGACTGGCCCCACCCCATCTATTCTCTGGCTCCCAAGTCCCAGCTGATTGGCTGGGTCTTCTTTCGTTGCCCTGCACAGAAGAACAGAGCTGGAAAGCAGGTTGGTAGGGTGTTATGACTCCC